TTGACTTTTTATTAATAATTTAGTATTTTCTTATGGAGTTGATTCTGTTAGCCTATGTTGATTGTATCGAATTGTTTGTGGCTAGATTCGAGGCATTCAGAGGCCGTTTTGCGAGGCAAAAGTGTGTTGGAGTAGAGATTGGCATGGCGTGAGGTAATTAATAGTTCTAAATTTGGTTCTGAGGGTATGAAACCCTGTATTTTGTGTCATGTGTTTGGTTTTAAGGTGTCACACATGCTAGGTGACGGGCGTGTGGGCGTACACCGTAAGAATTGTGACTTGGTCAATTCTGTAGAACTATGAAGTTGAATAGCCTGTTGTTATCCGAATACTCTCCATGTGTTATAGAAATTTAACTGCAAATCATGTTTAGACCATGTATTGATATTGTAGGGACCCAAAGAGGTCGTCTACATGTTGAATTATCTGTTAAATTAATATTTTATACTCAGTCACAGTTTTACTTGCATATTACATCTCAGCCTCTATTGTTCATTATTAATACATTATATCATTGCTGTTTGGGCTGATTATCATGATTTTTGAGAGCCCGAGAGACTGGAGAGGTTGATGACTGAGTGAGGCCGAGGGCCTGATTGTGAGGATATTTATGAGATAGGGCTGCACGTTGCATTATGTTTTATTGATTTATGCCATGATTGGCTTGTTATAGTGCTTGGGTTGAAGGAGCCCTTCCAGAGTCTGTACACATCCCCGGTGAGCGCAAGTACCTACTGAGTGCCGAGTGCTGAGTGCTAGGCGATTGAGAGGAATGAGTGATTGTGAGGTTGGAGTGAATGGGAGAACTGATTGATTGTTGCTCTGAGATGATGCATTTGACTTTCATTTATGTTGCACTTCTACTGTCATATATCACCGCCTTGTAATTTATGAGAGATATTATATTCTGTTTCGCTTGAACTTGACATGGATTAACTGTTGTGGCCTAAATTGTCGAACTTGAAAGCATGCCTACCTTCCTATGTTGAAATTACTATAATTGAACTATAACCGTGAAGCTCGTCACTACTTTCAGTCCTTTATTTAGTCTTGTTACTTACTGAGTTGGTTGTACTCACGCTACACCCTGTACTTCATGTACAAATCCAGGTATTTCCGGACACGGTGGGTGTTGATTCCTTTGCACAGTTGATCGTTTGGAGATTTCAAGGTAGCTGCCCGGTGTTTCGCAGACCTTGCATCCTCTTTCCCTATCTTTTCGATTTATGTATTTCGTTTCAGACTATTATAGACAATACTCCCAGATTTGTGATGTTTAGACACTCATGTACTCAGTGACACCCTAATGTTGGGAATTTTTATATTGGTTTTGACTTTTTACCCAGTTTTTGAGAGTTGGATGAATTTAAACCTGCATTATTTTAATTTTCATTTAAAAGTGTTGGAATCATTTCGAAATGTCGACTTATCTAGTACCACGTTAGGCGCCATCACGACAGGCTAAATTTTTGGTCGTGACAGAAAAATCAAGTCGATAGACATAAATACGACTTGTGGCACAATATGTTTTGTAAATATCTTGGCATTGGTTTTATGGAGATATGTTCTCCTGTGGTGGATGAAATAGTTTTTAGGTTTTAATTTGGCAATACATGAAAAACTTGATATGCGTATAATAAAAATTCTTAAAGGATTTAAATTGTTCTGAAGCATATTAAGGTTCCCAAGAAATTTATTAAATAAAATTCCAGTAAATCCTTATGTGGATTAGAACATTCATGTCGTACATGATTTGTTTTTGTGTCATGTTTGCAATATATAGTTTTACTCCTATGTGGAGATATTGAAATAACATTAGTGTTATATTGCAAAATGAATCCTTGATATCGATTTGTTTATTCTAACAAATACTGTCAAGATTTTATTGGTTTGCAAATGCATGCGTTTTTTTAAAGTTCGTTTTTCAGACAATCTATTTGCATGTGAGGGTACTGCTATATTATGATATTCAACAAGAATCAAATTGCATTGAAGATGATACTGCATGCATAGCTCAATTGAAAGAAGGACTATCGAAGGAGACAAAATAGAGCATATTTCACCAAAGTTCTATTTCAGACATGATCGATGTTCAATAGATTTATTTAAGCGATAATTTGACAAAGTTCTTCACAAGGCATTGCCGACCTCAGCAATTGAGAAGTTGTTGTACAAGATCGGAATTCATCATCTCTGAGATATCAAGTGATATTTTTGTCAGAGGGAGTATAACACGCGCTGCACTCATTTTTCTTTAGCTAAGGTTTTATCCCACTGGGCTTTGCTGACAAGGTTTTTTAATGAGGCAATAAATAATACGTATTACATGATATGTGTACTCTTTTTCCTTCACTAGAATTTTTTTCCCACAGGGTTTTTTCCTAGTAAGGTTTTAACGAAGTACATTATCTATGGACATCTAAGGGGGAATGTTATGAAATATTAGATTATGATGGATATCCATAACTCCTAAATGAATAACACCCACTACTCTTCTCCATTATCTCCAATAACTCTCACTACTCCAATACTTATGATTGTAACTCTCATACCTCCAAATCTCCCCCATGATCTTCCTACATGATCCCAAATACTTCATGCCATGTTTATGGTATTCTTTTGTATACCTTATACTATAAATAGAGGATAAGAATCTCTCATCTCTTTCCCCTCTATATCTCTTGTCTATTTTATTGTTTTGTATTGTTACCTTGAACTTAGTTTCTTAACAGTAGTTTAATTTTAATTTTAAATATATTTATTGTTAAAGAGTAGACAATCTTTGTTTCTTTCTTTCTTTTCTACAAAACTTTTGCACTTTTTAAATTTTTTCTGCAATTTTTAATATTGTCTAAACTAAAATAAAATCATAAAATCTACTACTAAAAATGTTAAAAGCTTCAAAAGTTCGAGGGCCTAAATCAAGGTTTTACTAGCTTCCCTTGAGCCATCCATCCATCTTTGACATTCTCAATCAAATTTTACAGAATCTCAATTTAGATAAGACGACAATAACAATGAACATTAAAGATAGTGAATACGTCATTTATTTACTAAATGTGAATAAAGCTAGTTAAATAGTATGTTCGTGGGGTAGTGGGCTTGACGGAATAAGTGGCTTGAATCTAAACAACGTTAGAAGACTCTTAAACTTCTTTCATAAGTTTCTTATAGTAATGAGACATAAAAAACCTATATGACTTTGATCTAGTGGTGCGAGTGCAAAGTATGACGTGTAGATTAGCCACACGCCATGGTATTGAGCTCTCCCATATACAAATATATGGTTAAGTGAAAAATGATAAAGGAGTGAACCCATTATTCATCAAGTTTTGAACCTTGCGATACTTGCCTCAACGATTTCTTAGTTTAAAAAAACAAGACACACAAATCAAATATGACAAAAAGAAATAGCTAATTCAAAGAATTTGAGTTTAAATTATAAAGTAAAATGGCGAGAAACACGAAAAAAAGACTATACATAAAGGAAGATAAATAGATTTAATAAGAAGGCAAAATGCCAATGGAAATTAGAGTTGCCTGCCTCTCTCTCACACGCATATATTGGTGTTGCATGTGTGATGTTACATTCACAGTATAGACAATATTGATGATTTTCAGTGTTAGACCATATTGATAAATCACTGCATTGATATGATTTCTTACACTTGTTCTTGGAACTCATATAAAATCACATACTGAATATCAATGTTAAACTTAAACCTACAAACTTCTTTGTGCTGATCATGCTGGAAATTTCAACCTTTAATTGAAACCCTCTGTTTATTTCTGCATTGACATTGTTAGTATTTTCTATGTAATCACCGTGAAGTGAATTGATTGCATTTGATAATTAAAAAGCACTTGTTTAATAAAAATTGCATGTTAATTAAACTAATAGAAACACCTAAATTAAGTTTTGTAAATATTGCGGAATATACTCCATCTTTTAAGGATCTATTTGGTTTTCACCCTATAAGCTAATAGGAAGATGGAGGAGAAAAATAAAATAAAAAAAATGAATATACTTTCGTTAGTTGCCGTATTATGAGTATTTTGCAGCGATACCTTTGGAAAAGCTGGTGAGGCAGTGTACTGTGATGAGGAAAAGAAACAATTAAGGCTCTGTTTGTTTTAAGGAATTAAGACTGATTTCCCAAAAAGGAATGAAGAGATATGGGAAAATCTAATATTTCCCTAATAGTTGAATCATACATTTGTTACACAAAAACTTAAAGAAAGAAGGCCTGTATATTTACCCAAAAATAAATGCCTGTATGTATAATATTTGAGATCATTTAGAGGTATGTATGTCTTGATCTTTTATGGAGGGAAGCACAATTTTCTTAAATAATTTAAGTTATATACAACAATAATATAATTTATAATAGTAAGTGCCAAGCTGCATGATTTATTATTAAAGCAATAAAAATATTTACTCATAATTGTTGTTTACTGAACCACATCAATTTAGTATGATTAAGTATAAAAATGACATAAAACTTATATTACTAATAAACTATAATTAAGTGATGAATATATATATATATATAGGTTTTGTTTTGTTTATTTTGTTTTATTTTGGATCCTTAAAAACGTACTACTGGATTGGTTATTTTGTTTTATTTTGGAATTGGGAGTGCCAAAGAGTCACTGCTGGAATGAAAAGGTTAGTGCACGTACAATTGATCGTCAAAAATATGTCCCAGTAGTATTCTTAGTTTTGTAACTATGATCTCAAATAGATATTATATTGAATGAATGAATATATGATATGCGTTTTTTTATTATATTTATTATATTTATCTATAGTTATTTAATCATAATTAAATGGCATATTTTTTTTATATTTTGTTACCATGCTCCAAAATAAATATTTATATTAGACCAATAAATATAAGATATGTGTTTTATATATTTATCACCTAACTCTGGTTACTTAACTATGATTAAATGATGTGACTCTAACTTGTAAAGGATAAATTCTCATTTGGTATTTAACAGTGTTGGCTCACCCCTGTTTGAAGAACGTTGAGCTAGAGAAAGGAGTCGAACAGGTTTCTTGGTGCTTAAGTAAAAGGTATTTTAATTTATCCATTTTTACTGTTCATTCAAAGTATGGTCCACAAAAGTTTTTTTTTTTTTTTTT